TCAGAGACAGAGCGCCGCGGGAGTCCCGCATCCGAAGAAGCCAACACACAGCTCCGCGCGAGTCACATGGGCCCGAGCGCCCCGAAGCCCCAAGCCACCCCCCGCGCAGAAGGCGCGCGACCTCGGGGCCCAGAAAGGCAGCGCGGGCCCGGGGATCGGAGAGGAAGGGGGCGGGGTCAAATGTAAACGAGCAATCCCACTTGACGCGGAGCGCCCTGGCCGCGAGACCAGAGGGCCCGGCGCGGGCAGAGCCCCGCGCCGCCGCTGAAGCCGGCGATCCAGCACCCGGCGCGTTGCCCGGGCATGCCCGCGCAGGGGCAAGCGCGAGTAGGGGGGGGAAGAGGCCTCGAGAGCTGCAGCGTGGGCGGCCAAACCTTCGGCGGCGACAAACTTCGAAAATCCGCCGCAAGTCGCTCTTCCCCCCGCGGGCAAAGCAAACTCCGATCGCGCAAAGCCGCTTCCAAGCGGGACAGCTGCGCGCGCGCGAGTCTCGGGGCGCGCGAGGCTAGGCTCCCCACGGGCCAGCCGGTAACGCGCAGTCACAGCGCGCCGCGCTTGCGCGCGCGGCACGTTTCAGCCGCCAGCGCGCGCGAGAGCGACCCGTCGACGACGCCGCGGGTGGCTCCAGAGCGGGGGCCGGAGGGCGCGGCCAGGGATCGCGGGGGCAACGCTCTTCAGAAGGGGGGGCGCCCCGAACCGGCGCGCGCGGGGACGGGCGGGGGCGGGGGGGTAGAGGCGAGAGAGCGCCGAGCACCCTATCCCACCTGGGCCAGCGCAGCGGCCCAGCGGGCGACGTCGACGTTCGCGCCCGAAAAAAGGCGCAGCAAGGCTGCGAGGTCAGCGAAGGAGGGCGCGACCTTAGCGGCGGCGCAGGTGGCGGGCGAACCGTCGCCCGCGCCGCTAGGGCGAGGAGGAACCGCGGGCCCCGTCGGGGCTCGACGGGGGGCCCGGGGCGGAGCGAGGGCCGCGATCGCAGAACGCGCATCTCCCTGCGGTGCCGCAACGGCATCGCCGGAGTAGCACGTCCCCACGGCCGCGGCCCCGCCCAGCCCACGCGCGCTGCGGTCACAAAGTCGCCGAGACCATCGGCTCGTCGCGGCCCCCGCCCTCGGCCGCCGCGCGCAGAAGGCGCGGGGCCCTCCCCCGGGCCCCGCTGGCCTTAGTGGGGGGGCCTTTTGAGGAAGACTTCCCTCGTTCTGGCTTTGCCTTGGGGGCGGGGACTTCGACTCGACCGCTGGAAAGGCCTTCGCCTGCCCCGACCGCTCGGCATCGAGGCGCGAGCGGGGGAAAGCCACGTCCGTCGCGCATCCGCTCTGAACCGGCAAGCCAGCGAGGATCCGCGAGCGGGGAGAAAGGCAACTGGGCCTCCCTCTCCGCGTGAATGCGAGTCGATTGCGCCAGGGGCGCCTCCAGCCCCGCCAGGGGCCAAGCGGCTTTCAGGCAACCGCGGCCCCCTGCCAGCTGGTCGATGAACATGCGCCGGCAGCCGTTCAGGGTTCCCGCGCTGTCTGCGCACCCGCTCACTGACGCGCGCCACAGCTCCGCGCTCAGCCGCGCGAGCTGGGCGAGCACCTCGAGCGTCGCTGGGCAGGCCCCAAGCGAGCTGCGCTCGCGAAAATACTGGCACATGGCCATGGGGGCGCCCGCGGACGGCCCCACCTCCAGAGCCCGAGCAAGGTTCGCCCACAGGATGGATCGAACCTCCCGCCTGTGCTGCACCGGAGATTGCCGCCATTCCCTGCGACGCGCGACCCCGCGCGTCGAAGTTCCGACGGCCTCCCCCTCGACCGCCGTCCTGAGAGGGGCGGGAGCAGCAGGAGGAAGGTCGCCGATCGCCCCCATGAGGAGATGCGTCGCCGCCTTGGGCTGCCCTGAGCGCTGGAGGGATTCCCGCAGACGCAGCAACGCCAACTCCAAAATGAATTCTGGAGTGCTGCTCGGGCGAGGTCCGCCTCCCGCGACGCCCCCCCCCCCCCGACGCAGTCGCCGTCCCCGTCGGGCATGGCCGGCCCAGGGGGGGGCAGGGAGCGGCGGCGGCGCCAAGGGCGGCGGAAGTGGCGGACGCGCGCTCGCAGGCATCCTCTTTCCCACGCCGTCGCCAACGCCGACGCGGGCGTCGGGGCGTAGCTCTGGGCGCGATGCCGTGTGTGTGTGTGTGTGCGTGTGCGTGTGCGTGTGCGTGTGCGTGTGCGTGTGCGTGTGCGTGTGCGTGTGCGTGTGCGTGTGCGTGTGCGTGTGCGTGTGCGTGTGCGTGTGCGTGTGCGTGTGCGTGTGCGTGTGCGTGTGCGTGTGCGTGTGCGTGTGCGTGTGCGTGTGCGTGTGCGTGCGTGTGCGTGTGCGTGCGCGTGCGCGTGCGCGTGCGCGTGGTGTGCGTGTGCGTGTGCGTGTGCGTGTGCGTGTGTGTGTGTGTGTGTGTGTGTGTGTGCGTGTGCGTGTGCGTGTGTGTGTGTGTGTGTGCGTGTGTGCGTGTGCGTGTGTGTTGTATGCGTGCGTGCGTGCGTGCGTGCGTGCGTGCGTGCGTGCGTGTGTGTATGTGTGTATGTGTGCATGCGTATGTGTATGTGTATTTGTATGTGCATGTGTATGTGTATGTGTATGTGTCTGTGTCTGTGTCTGTGTCTGTGTCTGTGTCTGTGTATGTATATGCATTTGTGCATGTGTGCGTGTGGCGCCCCGGTTCGCGCCCCAAGCGCGCCCGGGCGCCCCCAGAAGGTGGGGCCGCCGACTGGGCCACCTTCGCGGCCGTCGGCCGCGGGGTCTTCAGCTGGACCCCTGCGCGGGCCACAGGCGCCCCCTCGCACCGAGGCCGCGGCGACCGTTCCCCCCGCGCGGGGGCGGGCTCCGCTCGCCGAGGGCCTCGGAGGAGCGCCGAGGCGGGCCCGCGGCGGAGGCGGAGGTGCCGCCGGCAGCGGCGCCGCTCGCACAGGGGAGGGGGGGGGGCGCTCCTCGGCGTCGGCGTCCTCCCCCCTCGCCCCCGGCGAACTCGTCCGTCCGCGGAGTGGTGGGGCGCTGCCCTCTCCGAGCCAGGGGGCGCCTCCTCGCCGCCCAGGGGCGCGGATCGCTGCGCGGCCGTCGCGCAAGCCGACAACCCCCGAAGGGCGCGGCCAATGCGCGCGGGCACGGGCCGATCCGAGGGGGCAAGCCCGCCGGCTTCTCCCTCGTCGAGAGGGGCGAAAGCCTCCAGATCCAGTTCGGAAATCTCCAAATCGACTACTGAAGCGGTCATGATCAGCGGGCGAGACGCCGCGCCGAGCAAGGGCACGCTGACCGCCAAGGGGCCGACCAGCTCGCCGAACCCATCCGACCCCGCTAAACTGAGATTTTCGGCCGAGCGGCAGCGCCAACAAGATGCCCCCAGGTTGGGTGGCAAAAGGGATCGCGGCGTAGCTCGCTTCGCCCTCGCCCAGCCGCCAGCGGTCGTAATGCGACGCTGTCGGGGACGAGGACGGGTGAAGGTCGGGCCAAAGCGGCCCGTCGGGGATGGCGAGTCCCCCCGACGCTGGTACGTCGTCCGCCATGGCAGTTGGCAGGCTGGGGGCGCGCTAGCCGCCAGCCGAGCTCAGCCGTGATGAGGCGCAGCGGCTGGGCCTCGTGCCAAGGCCCGCGCTCGCTCCTCAGCCTGCGCGCCCGGGCCGTAGACCAGGGCGCGCTGCAGGCCACGACCGAGCCCACCAGGGGCTGCGATCGACGCCACGCCCGCGCGCGAGGGAGCCCTGATGACCCCCACCAGCGGGCCACCAGAGCCCCGACGCAACAGCCTCCGCAGAGGCTGCAGGCGGCAGTGGTCACCAACAGGGCCACTACCGACGAGAGCAGCACAGGGGCCACCCCGCTGCTCAAGGCCACCGCCAGCCCCAGGCAGACGGTGGGGCAAGCCGCACCTGCAGCGGCGGGAGGGCAGTGCCCTCCGCCGCTCAGGTCGGCCTGAGCGGACCACGAGGACCCCGCGGAGGAGCCGACGTAGTCTGCGAAAGGTCCCGGAGGTTGGCCCACGAGATGCTCGTAGAGCGCGGCTCGCAGACCTTGGAAGAGCACCGCCCCCGCACCCTCAATAGCGGCCTGGGCAAGCGCCTGCATAAAGCGCCCGCCCAGGGATGCCACGCGAGGATTCAGGGCCGAAGCAGCTTCAGACAACCACGACGCGCGCGGGCAGAGGTAATAAGAGAGAGCATGCCGACGACGACGGAGGGAGGGGGAGGGCGACGGCGAGGGCGACGACGACAGCGACGATGACGACATTGACGAGGAAGCGAGATTCGTATGCTGAGGCCCGCTTTGATGGAGCATGCGAGGTAGAGGTGTTACTCGGAGCGAGACAAACCTTCTGGAGTGAAACTAAGAGGGCGGCCGCCCCGACTGGAGTGAGACGCTCGGCGACTCCACACCTGGCTGTGCACTGTGCGCGGTCAGCGTACTGGCGCCGAAACTCCCACCATTGCTACTTACAAGAGCCGCAGCTCCCCAGAATCCGCCGACCCATCTGCGAGTGTGAAACGCTGTCGTCGTCTTCGTCGTCGTCCCCAGTCCCAAGAAAATTTAGAAGCAAACAGATAAACATGTAAAAACGTCCGGGGTACGGAAGGGGAACTGGGGGTGTCCCAAGTCAGATTGCCGCCCCCCTGGGGTCCCGGCGGCCCCCCTCCGCTCCCCAGTACCCCGAGGACAAGCAGGGGGTTCCCCCTGTGGGACGGGGTTCCTGGGATGGTCCCTGAGGTCCCGCCTGTGGTGGGGGGGGGGATGGCCCCGAGTCAGACTACCTCCACTCCCCGGGTCCAGGCGGGTCCCGATGGGGGCGCTGGCGCCAGCGGGGGTCCCCAGGGAGGTCCCGCCTTCACAGTCGGCGGCGCAAGCCGGAAGGCCTTCACGATCATAAAAATATGGAAGCTGGATTTCGCCTGAACAGCCCGCGGTGGTGAGATTAGCCGCTCCTCCATGTCTCTTCATTCTTCATGGCGACATTGACGGCGTTGACGACGACGACGACAAACCCTTGAGCAGTCCTCAGTGCAGCCCATGCCCATGAGATAGCCAGCCTCCTGGTCCGAGAGGAGCCGGGGGCGGGGGCTGCCGGGGGCGCCGTGGCCGGGGAAGAAGGTCAGCCAGGGCTGTCGAGAAGAAGGGACGAGGGGAAGAGGATGAGAGGGAAGTGGAGGAAGAGGAGGCAAGGTACGGTAAGGGCGCTTGGGGTTCAAAATCCGCCTGACGGAACAAAAAGCAGCAGGACCCCCCCTGCGAGATCTAGATGGATGCAGGATCCGTCGTCTGAAAGCGACGGCCTGCCTGCCCGGAGCGGCGGGTCCTGGTCGGCCTGGCCGCCGAAGCGTCGGCGGAGGGACCCTCCGATGCTCGTCTTGGCGTGTGGCATGAAAAGGACGAGGGAGAGGGCAGCAAGCCCACACGGCGTGCACCCCTGTACGAGGCCCGTGCCATTGGAAGGAAAACAGTTGGGAGTTGGGAGTCTTCAGTCGAGGTACTACCAGAAGGAACGCCAAATAAGGAACAGAAAGGCTTTTCTGTCCACGGTGGGCCTAGGCCACAAGCAAATCCCGCGACATCAATCTGAGAAACGACCCAAATCTCCGAGCCCCTTCCGAACCCAAACCGGTCCTTATTTCAGCGTCTTGGCTGTAGAGGAATCCTCCACAACACGGTGTTGGGTGCCCGTGTACGGGAACCCTCGATTCAAATCAGTGGGAATGATGTTGGTCACCCTTCTCGATCTCCGAAGAGTTAGCGTCCCATGTAGCCACGAAAGCATTGCCAATGTTCGTTCGTAGCTATCTCGTCATTTCTCTCCTCTCTGTCGGCTTGATACATACGCGGCAGTCCGTCCCACTGGAAAGCCTCCACTAGCAAGTGGTACTATTGCTGCCATGCCCCACAACTGTCGAGGTACTGGCAGTATTCGCTCCAGATGCTGCTTCCGAAAACTACACGCTTTGAACAAAAAAGGTGGCACCACATGGTGCGTTCGTGCAATGACCCTTGCCATACCCACGTTCTAGCGTCCGATACTGATCTACTGTCCTGATTTCCTCTCGCTGCCCACCTGGGCTACGCTGGGACGTGCCAATCAAAGCAACCGCATCACGTAAAGGAAGCTCATGAACAACGTCTGCCACCCTGGCAATCAAATTTCTCGCACAACAACTGCATCCAACTGCTAGCACCGACTGCGACATCTGTCAATGCGGGCCTGCTGTCGATGGGCAGGCGTCGCCGCCTCTGCTCAGCAGACGCCAGACTCCATCGCGGGCCCGCGCATGCTTCGAGTGTCCGACTCTTCTTAGCTGGTAAATATCAAACACAGCATCGCTCGGCCAAACCAGCTTCCTCCTCCTCTTCCTCTTACTCTTCCTCCTCCTCATCATCGACATGATCTACGAGGTCGAGGAGGTCTACGGAGTCCCTCGTGTCCCCCACGCATCCATCCGCCCATCCATTCTCCTCCCTTTCTAGTCATTCATGCCGACCCTCCCCTCCCGCTCCCTCGGTCCTCACCCCTGCTGCTTCTCCTACAAGGACCCTTCAGAAAACTCAGACGCCTCGCAACACACACACAGCATTGGACACCTCAATAACTCTCCGAGAAAATTTGGGAACCTTCAAGACTAAGTGGACCCATTCGGAGCCTCCTTCTCTACCTTATCCTCGTCCGACGGCCACGACCGCAACGACGACAACCACCACTACCACCACCGCGACCACGACGATGACCCTGTGGGGGAGGGCTGGCAGGTAGTCCTTGCAGGACGAGTTCCCATTTCCCCGACAAGAAGTCTGACGCGAAGGAACGACACGCACCACGCGACCAGCGTGCAGAAGCAGCGTTGCCTCCAAAGGCAGCTGCGCAGAGAGCGCCAGACTCGATCGGGAGGGAAGGAGGGGCGACGACAACGGAGAGTTGGGAGGATGGGGGAGGAGGGAAAAGGAGGAGGACGGGAAGGGAGAGGAGGAGGAGGAGGCGGAGGAGGAGGAGGAGGAGGGGAGGAGGAGGAGGAGGAGGAGGAGGAGGAGGAGGAAGGAGGAGGAGAAGGAAAAGGAGGAGGAGGAAGCGGAGGATGACGAGGAGGAGGAGGAGGAGGAGGAGAAGGAGGAGGAGGAGGAGGGTGAGGAGAAGGAGGAGGAGGAGCAGAGCAGAGCAGATCCGCATGGAGTCCCTGTCAGGCAACCGACTACGAACCCGAGAAAACTTGACTGTACTCTGAGAGGGTTCCTTCGAAACCAGACGACTGACGATGCGAGCCCCTCTCAGGCTCACAGCAAAAGACTGCACTGGCCGATAAGCACCAAAATAGGCACGCCGCCCTCAGAGGGGGGCCCATACATTAGGCGCGGCGACCCCGTCCATTCCCACGCCCACCAGAGCTCGACCCCCGCTCCCCCCTCCCTTGGGCGCGGCCGCCGCGGCCACGATTCGAAGACATATTAATTACAGGAATATCAGGAGCCGATGCTGCTGCGAGACCTTCTGGAAGAACAGCTGGGGGCCTACTCGCTGCCTGAGCTATTTCATCATGTGTTATACTTCCTGCTGCTACTAGTGCTGCTAAACGCTGACGGCTCGCCATCATCGGAAGCCTGCTAGCTAACAACTCACGGCTGTCATTCACACTGCTACTGCTGGCACAGGCGGGCGGGGGAGGCGCCTCCACTGTCCCAGCCGGCGGCCCAGAGCTCCCAGGCGGCTGAGATCGACTCACGCCGTGTCCTTCCGATCGAGGTACTTCGATATCTCCCTCTCGAGCGGACCGCGCAGCGCCGCCCCTGAAAGAAAGGAGCCCCCCCTCCACGGCCACCAGCGTCTCTATCATGGGTCCGATCACCGAGCCCGTCGTGTCGTGCAGGTCCATTTTGAACAGAAACGTAGCCTTGTCCATCTGGCTCCCCACGTTGCGATGCGCACAAACGCGGAAGTACTGAACTGCACGGGCCACCGCTGAAAGAGATACCTGCGAAAGCCGCTCGTCCCAGAACTGGCGCATATCCTTCTTGAGCTTCTCCGCGCGCTCGCGTAGTGCTGGGCCCCCTTCTTCTGCCGCTGCCTTCGTTGCTCTGTACTCCCATACTGCCATGAAGATTTGATTATGAGGTGCGGCGCGTGACTTGTGGTCTGCCTTCCCGCCGCCGTCTGTGAGCTTCTTCACCTCCTTGATCGTCTCGTTGTAGGCCACTCCTGCCGCGAGTGCGGCCGCGATCATGCCCCGGCCTGCGTCCATCTCGCACCGCAGATATACCACGGCTCCTAGGTCTGCGGGCTCTCGACTGCTGGCCTAACTCAGATTGCATATGACTAAGATGATTTTGTCGAGCGGAATGCGACCTCCGACCGCCTGTTCCAAGCTGTGGTCGCATGAGCTCGGCAGGAGAAGATCCAAAAAGCGCACATAATATATGAGTATGTTCCTCGGGGTGCGCACTCCACGCTCGATGCAGCTTGACGCGGCGAATCAGGAGCTCCAGTGAGGAGGGAACCAGCTTCCAATGAGAGAGTACTTGTTTGTTAGATAATGTTGTCACGCGCGGCCCGCCCCAGGAAGTAGCTTTGCCTAACGTAGCTATGCGCCCGAGACTTGCCAGACAGCCGTCTAGAATAGTAGTGTCCGTCTCCGTAACCACGAAACTCTCAAGTCCACTCAGGGTAGTGTTCTGAACGAACCCGATGAAGAGACTCCGTTTCCACCTTTTCGGGGCCCCAAGACCCCGCACCCTGCCCAGGGAGAAAAAAGCCAGAGCGAGCCGCCGAACACCTCCTGGAGATCTCAGACCTAGCCGAAACACCTAACTGCAAGTGAGGCCCAACATATCTCGCCTGTTCCTTGATGGAGCCCTGGAGGAAGGTGGGGTTTTGGCGGAGCAGCTGTCGACGCTGATAGCCGCGTGCAGCGAAAAACATACTCTTGCTTGGTGCAATTCTGGCCATGCCCGAACTCCGTCAGATAAGAATCCAATGTCGCATCAACCGCCGTGGTCTTCCGCGCGAAGTCCCTCAGCGACATGTTCGGGTCGGCTTGCACAAAACTATTAATATCATCCGCAAACTTGTACGTGCTCAGGTCGGCTTGTAGTCCCTGCCGCGATGCTCGCAGTCGCTTGGACTGCAACTCAGCTTGGGACTCGCCATGCCCCCAAGACAAAATTGGACGCGCGAACGTGCCCACAAAAGATCGGACAGCAAATGGATCCCCCATCGTGTTCCCCTGAGCAGGTCGAACTGCGAGAGGGCCTTCCAGCGCTCCCAGAGGAATAATTGCATTATTGTATCGTTGTTGGCATAAAGCGTGATCACATTCACGGGAGTGAAGAAGTACGGTTTCGTCTAACTGATCCCATTGAGTGCTGCCGAGAGCGTTGGACATATCTTCGAGCGCCATGGCGTGTGTGATACCCTGAGCTCGTAAGCGCCGCGATGTAATCAGCGAGCCCATGACAGCGCCCTCACGACGACGGTGTCGGTAGTAACCGTGGTCTTGGACAGCAGGGGGTGGGGTCAACAGCGTAGAGTAGTATGCCTTCCCGAAAGCTGCCATAGCGTGCACCACACGACGACATCGAGGACCAGCAATATTAGATTTGCGCAGGCCTGCCCCTTCCGTCCGGCGCCAGTAGAGCGGGCTAATGTTGTGCATCCTGATTTTGGCTAAGCCCACTCCCACCAGAAATATGAAACCCGACGTCGACGGCACACTCAAGTCAGCTCCTATGCCCTGGCCACGTCGATGTCGGAGGGCTTTCTTTGGTTAGAAAAGCATCAGCCAGAGCGCTAACGGTGCCGTCGGATCTGGGGCTGCTCGTCGCTTGGCTGCGCGTCGCATCCAACGAACAACTCGACCAACACCATCCTTATATAGATCAAAAATATCTTCCTTATTTTCCCAAAAAACTGCTGGCCATTCCTCTCATCACGCCATTCAAACCAATTCTGAGGGCGAACTGCCATACCACCTTGTGAGCCTTCCAGGGAACACACACTCAGCCATGCCTCTGAAGTGGGTGGTGCAGTCCGAACGAGAAGCCCATCACGTTTCTTAGGTCC